AAAAAAAAATTTAAACAAAAACACACAGCAAGTTACAATAGCTCTAGTAGTGTATGTTCTGTAATCGAAGAATGATAAGCAAAGATAACGAGATAAATAAATAAATAAATAAATAAATAAATAAATAAATAAAAAATGGCGTGCTCGCCGTCGTAGGCGTGCCGGCAAAAAAAACCACAAAAAAATAATTTACAAATATATTGATTTACATATGCCCGTAACTCTTAAGCGGGCCGGTGGCGCAACGCGTCTACCTTCGCCAGATTTTCATCCGCACACCTGTACCACTGTCGCCCAAGCTATATATATATATACACATATATTATATATATACGCAACACGGATCGAGGAAGAAGAAGAAAAAGAAGAAAAAGAAGAAGAAGAAGAAGAAGAAGAAGAAGAGAATGGAAACCGAGTCGCCGAAGAAAATTCACGATGAACACTGATAGTGAACGCTATTACTATTACTATCGTCCGACTCGGAGGAACGAGGAAAAGGAAAAAAAGTACACTCGTCGTCCGTTCGATCAACCCTTTCTCGATCTCGACGACGAAAATATCGCCGCTAAGAAGCAGCTGTATATTCCACGAGCTGTCTTCGATATCGATACGAAGCCACACTACACTATATCGAAAACCCGCGCGATTCAAGTCGAGGAGGAAGGAGAAGAAAAGAGGGAGGAAGAGAAAGAGGGAGGACGACGTGGGAGGGCGACGAGTCGTCCAAGAGCCGTTCGACGACAGGGTAGAAACGCGTTTTCTAGATAGATCGTTATCGAGAGATAGAGACAGAGACAGAGAGAGAGAAGAGAGAACGAAGAGAGCGAGATGAAAATCTGTGAACAGGGGAAGAAGAGGGGAGCGCGCGGTCTGCAAAACCGGCCCTTAACCCATAATCTTAATCTCTTTCATGTAAATTTGCTAAATGTTTAAATAATCTAAAAAAAAAATGCCATAGCCCGGATGCGCTGGTGTATACTCCCAGTGCATACACACTCACAAATACGACTCGACCTCACGAATTAAACGCAAAAAATCCGCGCCGCCGATTCTTCCGACGGATGGGGCGCGGTAAAATTGGTATTCTCGCCAAGGAGCGAACAGTTCACAATTGCACAAACGACAGAATCACAGACAGAAGCACACACTCAAAGCGAAGCGAAGAGACAAAGAGGAAGCGAGATCCGCGCCACGCCACCCGACGATCGAGGCGGTTCCAACGAATCCGTCGCCGAATCGAATCGGGCCGACGGACGCCTCGCGATCTCGGCAAATCACGTTACACGATGAAATCAAAGTTGCCCTGGTTCTCGAGCGTGCAACCCCGCGCGCTCACACACATCTCCATACACGGGTCGTACGATGAATCGTTGTCGAACCAACATCCTCGTGTCGAACCCACACCCTTGCGCGTCAGCGCATGCACCCACACGCACAACGCACAAGCACACATACACGTTGCTACACGTCGATACTACACTTTCTTATACACTTCGTAATACACTTTAATCACACTTAATTACACACGCTACGGATATGTAAAGCCAATTGATTTTGTAAATTGTCGAAAAAAAAAAAGAAATGAAAGCGGCGAACATTCGAAGAAAGAAAAAAGAAAATAAAAAGAAACCACGGAACCACTATTCGGCCACACACGGTATATTTTTCACGGTATAATTATTAAAAGAAAAATAACAATAATATGGTTTGTAATAAAAATGCATTGCGGAGACAAAAGAAAAAAAAACGAACGTTTACTACCGATCCGAATTTTGAGAAGATCCGCGCGAGGATCGTCAACCGATTCGTTCTCGCTTTTTCGAGCGGAAAGGAATCGTTTCGAGCGGCAGTGAACGAGGATTTACGAGATTAAAAAAAAAAGCAATTGATCCAAAAAGACGCGTAATGTGTAAAAAAAAAGAAAAAAAAGAAAAAAAAAAGAAGAAGAGAGAAAAATAAAACGAGCACGAAAATCGAAACAAAATTCGCGGCCTTTGGCATACGTTTGGATGCAGAACCGATGATGAAAACGACGTTCGCGTTCTTCTCGAACGCCCAACGTCACACCATGCATCCCGGACTTGACGCCGATATACCCGAAACGTGACGTGACATATTCTTCGTTCGAAGATATGTCGAGACCGAGTGGGCAGGCTTGCGAGGCGAAAAATAAGAACCGCTCAAACTTGTAACGTCCGAGGAGGAGTGACAGAGAGATAGGGAAAGAGAGAGACGTTTGTAAAACAAAGATGGCGCCTCGAGAAGAAGAAGAAAAAAAGAAAGCCTGTCCCACGCGTATACATAGAGAAAAGAAGAGAAAAAAAAAAAAAAAAACCAGTGTAATAATAAACCATCCTAGCAAGTAGCAACGGCATTAGGAGAGCCGTTGTTCGAATTCGCGGCTTTACAAGCAAAAACCGTTGATTTGTTTTCGATCGGGTTTTAATTTTTTAATGAAATAATCTCACAAAACGAATATACGACCACGTACGGTCGCGCTAATCGATCCGAGAGAAAAGAGAGAGAGAAAGAGAGAGGGAGAGAGAAAAGGAGAAAGATGGGGCAAAGACGTATGTGACGTATATTCGTGACAGTGTGTATCGTAAGTGCGCAGCATATGATAAAACCGACAGTCTAGCAGTGCGAGCGCCTCGGCGGCATTCGCGTTTTCACGCGGTGTCCCTGACCGAGCCTCCGTGATTAAAAACCGGAATAAGTTGTTTCAATGTCCACTATATAAATGAAGAGGCATAGCTGGTAAGACGGTGGGTTCCCCGTTCGCCGTTCTCGAATCGAATCGAATCGAATTTCGTTCGTACGAACGAACGTTTGCTTCGTTTCGTCCATTCCGGACGAATAACGCAACAATTGGAGACAATTTCGTTCCCGAACGAACGAAATTGAATCGATCCCCCTATCTTCTAACAACGCGTTAATTATTGCCGAAATGAACATTTCCAATGGAATATGGAGGCTGCGATACCATCCCCCGGAGTTCAAGTATCGAAAGAGAAAGGAAAAAGGGAAATTCTTTTTTTTTTTTTTTTTTTTTTTTCGAGCTTGGCCAACAATCGAGATAGGCCGAGAGAAATTCGAATTGATCCGAAATATTTCGATTTCAGGATAAACTTTGAGAAATGAAAACTTTCGTAACATTTTTTTTTTCGTTTCGTGAAATGGAACGCGAAGTAAAAAATTTGATTGTCGATCGTCTCGATGATGTTCGGGCACTTTGGCTGTGTTTATTAATTGATGTTTATCGGGACGCAAAAAAGCGCAAAGTTCGAGAAATTAAATAAAAAAAAATGAGAGAGAAGAGACGAGGAGAAATTTTTCTACGAGCCGAATGTTGAAACTCCAGCCGAGTAGTAACGTGCCGTGAACTTGATCGATCGAGACGCGAATCGGTGAAAAAAAAAGGAAAAGAAAGAAAGAAAGAGAAAAAGAAGGAAAAAAGAGAAGAAGACAATCGTCGACGACGAACGTGCGAACCCACCGTGCTGGCTCGTCGCAGCAATCCGGAAGTTCCTCGAGATCTCCCGGTTTTCGCGACGAGTCGATACTCTTTTCAAAATATTCTCCAAATTTTTTGTTCACAGGAATGTGTTTACTTTACCCCAACCCCGTTATACGACCCCCCGTATACGCGTTCGAGGGAAAAAAACCGAGTCCAAAAATTTTCTTTCCACTTTTCACGCACGATTGGGAAAAAAAAGAAAACGATTTTCGAAACAACGATCGAGTCAAATTCATTGGAATAATGAAACGAAAAAATCTTGAAACGAAAATCGAGTGATTCGATTCTTCTTAACGTAAACGTAAAAGAAAGAAAGAAAGAAAGAAAGAAAGAACGAATGAGAAAACAAAGATATATTCGCGTTACGAATTACGAAAAATAGAAATCGAAAATAAAATTGATGGGAATAATAATATAATAATATAATGGAAAAAATGAATAAAAAGTCCGTTTAGTGGGTGCCTTCGTCAGGGTTTTCTGTTACAGTTAAACAGTCGTTTTCAAGTATAACTCACAACTAGTAGTACTATGGTAGAACAGTTATTACAATGTACCGCAATAAACAGTTAACTAAGTAAGTATTACAGGAAGCACTTGGTCTTTTCAGTGTCTATCAGTCTTGTCGTACACCACCGCCGATCGCGTAAGTGGAACGACCGGAAATACCGGATTCATTTCGTACGCAATTACCTTCGTCCCGATTGAACATCCTCCCCATTCAACCAACCATCCATCCAAATCCCCCCCTCCATTAAATTTTCGAAATCATCGAAAAATTTATCGCGAGAACACGAGATTTGAACGAACACATTTGGCGGTCCAACACACCAAATGGAATAATAAAAGAGTAGAAAAGAGAGGAAAAGAAAGAAGGAAAAGAA